AACCCCTCACCCACATCTTCCCACTGCCTGCATCCCACCCTCATTGAGTGGGGTGTGCACCCCGTTCTCCATATCCTGCCCTCACTGACCAGCCAGGCACACCTTCAGCACTCTGTGCCAGCTGGGCATCACTCTGCCTGTATCCTGGTCTCAGGGTACCATGCTCCTGCCCTTGTGCTGCACCCCCTGTGCCACARAGGTCACTTTGGGCACCCTGGCACCCACATTTTGCACCTACCTTGTTGCTGGCATTGCCAGAGCACCCCCAGATCCTGCACCTGCTGGTCCAGGCGGCCACGCCTTCACCTRTGTGCCACCCTCCCTGTGCCAGCTGGGCACTCCTGTGTCTGGAACCCGCACTTACCTCAGCTCAGGGTCACAGTCAGCACCCCCATCCTGGTCATTGGCATCACAGGGTGACCCCCAAACCTGCACCCACTTTGCTATCCGTGTCACCAGTGATCCTCCTGCCCGTGGCTTGTCACTGTTATGGGGCATCGATGCCCATACCCTGCACCCACCTTATTCCCCTGGTGGAGCACCCCATACTCRTGTCCTGCACCCACCTCAGTCCCTGTGTCACAGGACATCCTCATGCCCACATCCTGCACCCACCTTGCTGTCCCACAGCAGGARCATCTCYGTGTCCATGTCCTGTGTCCRTGTCCCACACTCACCTTGTCCCATGGTGGGACACCTGCGTCCTGCACTGTCCATGTCACTGTCCCCACRGCTGAGGGAGATGCGGGGCTGTCCRTGTGCCTGCACCCTTCACCCACCTCGTCTGTCCAGCGGGGTCACCCTGTGCCCATGTCCTGCACACCCCTCTCCATCCTGGGGACACCCCCCTCCCCAGCGAGCCCAGGAGCAGCCGGTCAGGGGGCGATGGCGATGGATGGGATGGGCTGGTGGGATGGATCCAGTGGGACAGGGGATCTGGGGGGYGCAGGGTAGGGGGCACCTACCAGAGCGGTGGGTGGGAGGGTCCCCTTGGGGCTGGTGACGCCGGCGCTGCCTTTGGTGCTGTTGGTCTGGGGCTGTYGGAGGGGACAGATGGAGGAGGCTCAGTGGCATGGAGGGGGGAGCAGGCCCCCAGCCCCCCATGGGCTCCCCAGCCCCTCCAGCCCCCCGTGGCCTCCCCAGCCCCTCACCTTCACACCGTCTGCCTTCTTGTTCAGTAAGCTCTTAGCTGCTGTGGGGGGAGAGAGTGTCAGTGCTCCCCCCCAGCACAAGGGACACTGCATTGTCCCCCCAAACCCRAACCCTGCCCGGCCACCCAACCTGACCCCAGCCTGGGTGCTGGCAGCACCTGCCACCCCATTGCTGAAGAGGGGGAATGCACCAGGAAGGTGCTGTCCCCATCCTGTGGGAGGTCCCCATTTTGGAGGGGTGGTCCCCGTGTGGGGAGGGGTGTCCCCATTCTAAGGGGGTCTCCATTTTGAGGGGGGTCCCCATGCTGGGAGGGGTGTCCCCATCCTGGGAGTGTTACCGGGGGGAATCCCCATGCTGGGTGGGGTGTCCCCATCCTACAGAATTCCCATTTTGGGAGGGTTCTTCATGCTGGGAGGGGTGTCCCCAACCTGGAGGGGTCCCCAGCCTCAGGAAGGTCCCCAGCCTGGGGGAAGAGAGTGTCCCCATCCAGGGACGGGGTTTCCCCAACCTTGTGGGGCCATCCCCATCCTGGTGGGAGGCTCCCAAATTCAGGGGGGTCCCCAAGAGGAGGGGCTCTCCCCACCCTGGGAGGGATGTCCTCAACCTGTGGAGATCCCCACCCAGGCAGGGTGTCCCCGTCCTGGAGAAGGGAGCTCCCCAAACTCAGTGGGTCCCCAGACTGGGAGAAGGAGGTGTTCTCAACCTGAGGGGGGTCCCCATCCTGGTGCCCCCCGMGCTGGGGGGCAGGGCTGGCTTACCTTGGAGAAATGCAGAGAGGAAAGCGAGAGAGAGGAGTGGGGAGGGGGCAAGAGAGAAAAGGGGTGGGAAAAGGAGGAAAAGGGGAAAAACATAAAAAAAGAACATAAAAAAGATGAGTTGAGTATGGGGGGCGGGACAGCCGCCTGTGCCCCCATCGTCTCCCTGGAGGGGGACAAGGACGGGCACAGGTGTGAGGATCTGTCACTGCTATCGTGATCTCTGGCCAGCGGGGGGACAGGGTGTGACGGGGACATGGTGGGGCACGAGTGGCTGTGGGGGGGTGGAGGGCGGGGGTGTCACCTCGAGCATCCTCATCATTCCTCCAAACTCAGGGAGCCGCCCCCCGCCCCGCTGGTGTCACCAGGTGAGGGGGGATGTGCGGTGACAAGTCTGGTGACAGCGGGGTGGCACCCATCAGCGCCAAGAGAGGGGGCGGGCAGATGCGGGGAGGGGGCGATGACCCACACACCCCTCCCCCGGGGACCTGTGTCACCTCAGGGGCTCCTGGCGCCGTGTCCCCAAGGGTCCCTGTCCCTCCTCTGAAAGCAGGCGGGCGCTGAGAGGTGGAGGTTTAAACCAGAGCCGAATTTGGGGGGGTGGAAGGAGGGAGGGGACCCCTGGCAGGATGTCCCCCCCCTCGGGGTGGGGTGGTTTAAAACCCGCCGAGTGTTTCGCGGCATCACAAACACTGGCTGCAGCTCTCAGAAGCGGGGTGGGGGCACATGCTGGGGGGCGTGGGGGCCATGCCGGGGGGAGGCACATGCGGGGAGGGGGCACATGCAGGGTGGGGACGCAGGGGGGGCACGGGGGGCACACGGGACATGCAGCCCGTTTGTCCTCCCCTGCAGGCCGGTGCGCCCCCCCTGTGTGCACGAGGGGTGGGAGAGGTGGGGGATGAACACCCCCTAAAATGATCCCCCCGCCCGCAGGTCCCCGTTGTTGAGCCAGATGTGGAGCCCGGTGATGCCACCCGTGTGTCCCCCTCAAGGGGTCAAGGGGTCTGGCCCGGGGTCAAGCACTCGGCAGCCCCACCTCGGACCCCTCCCCCAGGGCCAGCCGCAGGGTGACAGCAGCGGGGACAGTGGCATCTCTGGGTGGCAGCGGGGAGGGACAGAAGCCAGAGGGCTCCGGGGCAGTGCCGGGGTGCCATGCATGCGCTGCCATTTCCGAGGAGGGCACCCGAAACCCGCTGGRGCGGCGGGAGGCAGGGAAGAGAGAGGACATCGGGAGAAGAGGGGGTGACACGGGGATGAAGGATCTGGGCACACACAGAGACCAAGCGGGGCCGGGGGGGCCGAGGGGGCCCTTTGCGGACGCGTCTACCTTGTTCCACCAGCCCCAGCGGGGCCCCGGCAGCGGCCGCCGACATGGTGGGAGGAGCGGTGGTCTGTCTGCCCACTGCGGGCGCGGGAGAGAGAGAGAGGGAGCAGAGCTCTGTTAGGGGGGGCGCAGAGGCGCTGCGGCCGGGACCCCCGCCTTCCCCCCGCCCCAACGAGGACTCTTGGGGTGCCCATCACCCCGGCCTCGGGCCTGGGGTGGCCGGTGCCTCTCCRTCCCCCTCCCCGTGTCGCCCCCACACCGGCCACCGCGGTGGGGGGGGACACACGGGGACCGGGCGCTACCTGCTGCTGTGTGCGTGGGGCGGGGGGGCCGGGTCCTGCCCCCACCTTGGCTACCACATGCCCCGTCCTCACCGATGGGGAAAAAATGGTGGGGGGTTAAGGAAGGGAGGGGAGAAAGAGAGAAAGACAGCGATAGAGAGAGGGGGGCACCGGCCCGGGGGGAGCTATGGAGGGGGGGCTGCGGCCCCCGGCCCCCCCGGCCAGTGGGAGCCCCCCCTTACCTGAGAAGTTCCTGGTGGCCAACATGGTGGTGAGGATGGCACCCTGTGGAAAGGGACAGGGTGAGCTGGGGAGGGGGTGCAGGGCTG